TGTCACACACCCCCTTTCTGGGCTTCTCTCTTACCCCTGCCCCTTTCTGGGTTTCTCTTACTTGCCCCTTTCTAGGTTTCTCTTTCTTACCCCAGCCCCTTTATTATTTCTTTATTAGCACAAGGGTTGGTCAGAGAAACCCTCACCGGGAAAAGCAGGACCCGAGCTGCCCGCTCGGTATTCGTCCAAGACACCATAACCAGGTATCCGTGAGTCGTCTTGTGGACGACCGCCGGAACTGGATCCGAATCTGGCCAGTTTTGCCGGCATTTTTCGCTTGCCAGCGACATCGCCATGACCAGTCCAAGGTCTTTTGGGTGCAGAGCCCATGTCCACAGAGTGGAGAGAACCGCCTGAGTCGAAGTAATGAGCCCCAGAAATGCTGGGTGTGGTCCCATAGGGGCAAAGGGAGCATCCCCGTGGAGGGAAGCAAAGGCTTTTGGCAGCGAAGCCGCCAGTGCGTCACATAACTAGGCTTGAAGGCCCTCGGGTGCGTGGAAACCAGATATGTCAGCCATGACTGATGACACTGAAACAATGGTAAGGTACAGTCAGTGTGGAACCCGGGTAAAGCCAGCTGGGGGTCACCCAGCGTGCAAGAGGGTTCACCCAAACAAGCACAAGCATATCATGCGAAATAGGCCATGAAAAGGAGGGGCTCACCCTCAGATTAAGTGTCTTATGTCCAAGGTCCAAAGTACCATTGGAGGGAGGGGGTCACCCAGCCTAGAAAGAGCCACAAGCACAATAGTGAGGCCCAGCAAGGGCTTTAGATATTGGGTACAGAGTACCAGTGTTATTTAATCATAAAGGTGGGTCACCCCATGTATAAATAGGCCAGAGGCCTAGCTCCACAGTGGAGCACTTACCTAAGGAGGGAATATGCCGTATGTTGAGAGAAAAGGGGCAGGGGAGGCTGCTCTCTGAGCAGGACGGCGCTTGTCTGGAGGCAGCAGCAAAGAAAGGAATTGGGAGGGTCTGCCCGAGGGTTTTATACTGCTGTTATTTTGTTCTGATTGGTTTTTCTGAAAAGTTATGTTAACTATTTTTTTGCTGCTGGAGGTTTTTGGTAAAGAAGGTAAAGCGAATATTCGCCTCTTGTCTTTATAGGGTCCCCCTCCCGCCTGGCTCTGGAAGGGGTAAAAATGTAACTTTTTCCAGCGCTGGGCGGGGAGCTCTCTGCCTCCTCTCCTCCTCCGATCCGCCCCGTCGGCTGAATGCGCACGCGCGGCAATAGCTGCGTGCATTCAGCCGGTCGCATAGGAAAGCATTCATAATGCTTTCCTATGGATGCAATGTGCTCTCACTGTGATTTTCACAGTGAGAATCGCATAGCGCCTCTAGCGGCTGTCAATGAGACAGCCACTAGGCAAGGAGGAAGGATTAACCCATTTGTAAACATAGCAGTTTCTCTGAAACTGCTATGTTTATAAAAAAATGGGTTAACCCTAGCTGGACCTGGCACCCAGACCACTTCATTAAGCTGAAGTGGTCTGGGTGCCTAGAGTGGTCCTTTAATAAAATGGAAACAGAAACAAATCTCCACAATCTGCACACTGGTCATGGAGGAGGCAACCTTGGACACTCCAGATGTTACGAACTACAACTCACCTGATGCTCTGCCAGCATTCCGGTCGAGTATTATGGGATGTCTGGAGTCCTGCTTTAATGATCACCCTGACACTGGCTGGCACACAGCAATGCACCAAACTGGGAGTTATTTACTAAACAGCGAGCAGGAAGTGGACCGCAAAATAGCAGAGCTATAACCAATCTCTCATAATAATAATAATAATAATAATAATAATAATACAGCTACTGTCAGACTGGGTATTTTAAATTTAGCAATTTTATTTTCAACTCACTACAGTTTGCTATTTAATGAATAAACCTTATTATTATTATCTTTAATTCAACCATTTTGCCCTGAATGTAATTTCAAGGTTCAATAAACCAATGGCCCATACACAGACACCTTGTATTATAAGCAGACACTAAGTTCCTCCTCCAGGCAGCAGAGGGCGCTGGTCTCACCCAGCCTGGATCAGAGAGAGGTCCTTGTGCAGCACAGACTGAGCACATAACCATCAGGAGAGCACAGTATGTATTAGCTGTATAACAGCAACTTTGTAACTATAACCTGGGGACACTGGCTGGCTGAGAGTGACATGCTGTGGCCAAGCCCTACATGATGGATCTGCAGTGATTAGTTACACTTGCACTCCATTCCCATGTTCCTCAGCCAGCCTCTCATGGTACATGGAGTGTCTAGGTTCCTCCTCACTGTGATACTGTAATCTTTCTACTCAGGTGCGGGAGGGGTGGAACATAGGGTTTCCACTTACAGCTTGTCTTCCTGGACACATCATGCCTGATGGGCTGCCCTGTCTAGTTCATACAGTAAATTCCTTTGGATGCACCCTTTCATTGATTTCTCGACTGCATAATATGATTGTTTATTTGGGCAGCCTTTTTCATTCACTGTCTGCCTAGCTAGTGTTTTCATTATGGTCCAAACAACAATGACATGTACAGGTTCTCATTCAGGAATATCTCACGAGTTTCTGATATTTGCCTTTTTTATTGCAATCTGTAATGAAGGGATTAAAGTTTACTATCAGCAAAACTGATGTTTCGTCTCTATACCATGTGCTAGAGAAGCCAATAGCAGCAGATGTCCTTTATAGGAAAAATTAGACATTTACATGAAGGTTATGGTGTGCTGCAGTGGTTATGGTGCCAGCAGTGCCCTAGCCCTTCACAGTGCTTTAAGTCTTAATGCGGGTGGATTGCTAATCCGTGATAACAAAAGAAAAAGGTAATTGAGTAATTTGATAAATAATAATCTATGTAAAAATAAAAAAAGATATTTTCTATAAGGTATTTCAGACAAAGTTGGTGTAATTATTATCATTCCTCGCAGTGAATCTGTTTGGATATATCTCGCTGACTCGTGCATTATCTGCAGCAATATTTTAATAATATCTCTCGTTTTCACATTAATGGTGTCATGTCATCTGCAAAATCCGTATAGTCCCGAGACACATATGTCGGTTAAGGTTCTCCTAAGATGGCTTCCGCAACTGATGTGGATTAAGGCACGCAGCAAACGGCGCACACAAATGGCCTTTTCGGTTTCTCATGCCACAAATTTGGCTACAAAGCTTTGTCTGCCCCTGTCGCTCACAGATGGGAGCAGGGGGCTCTGTACCGCAAATCAATTTCATGTAATGGGGTCTCTACTCTGAAAATTCTCCTGTTTGTTAATTTATGCATTTACGCTGCGTATTCACCCATATTATCTAGCTGTTCTCATGCTAGTTAGTGTATATTTGGGGGCTTAGTGGTTAAAACCGGCCTAAGGAACAGTACCTCTTATGTCATTTTGTTTTCCGGTTCAGCAATGACTGAGGGGAGATCAAACGTTGCCCTGACCAAAACCCCCTTTACTCAAATTCACCCAGTCCATCTATTAGTTATTATTTTTATTTATAAAGCGCCAACAGATTCCGCAGCGCTGTACAATGCAAATCAGATGTTTATGGTGTATTCTACATGCATAGGCAGACCTCTGGCCAGTTCCCACTATTGATTGAATTTGACATTTAAGAAATGTGTAGAAGCATTCTAGCTCTGCATCTGATGAACCTTTCTGGATTAGAGAATATATTTTAGAAAGGGTGTGTGAAGTTTGGGTTGAGCAGTGACGTGATTGCTCAAATGTGCTCAGCCCTCTGTGTTTCCAATGGGGCATTACTGTCAGCTGAGAATAGCTCAGGGTGTCTAGCAGTGTAGGGTGCTTGGTGGGGCCCAAAAGGTCAGCAATAGTCAGGATTGAGTCATTAACAAGAAACGGATTTAAGAGTTTCTGGGAGCTGCCAATCAGGCGGAGAAATATTTGGTGTCCCTGACCTTCCTGAAAATCGGAATTGGCCGCAATAGGGTATAGCAGTAATAAACCTGGTGTGGGGACCAAGTGGATCTGTCTCTCCTCCAAATCTGAAGCACGTTCATTATTAAGGGATGGGAAGAGGGGTTAGTGCTGTGACTCATAAGCCAAGGTGCTATATGGAGCGGGGTCTTGCCAAATCTTTGTGGGTACCAGGATCTCGTTTGTTCTGTAGTAGTACATTCCCGCAGTGTGGTTAAAGCTGCAGCTATGTAGTAAATGGTAAATATTGGGTAACTCCAACCCCCCTCTCTCCCTACTGCCAGTTAATACTCGGTAGGCATTACCTGGGTGTTGTATGTAGGATCATTTGCATTGGCTTGTTAAATTATGTAGTGTTTTATATTGCAGTTCTAGTTATGACCATAGGAGGGAAATAGAAAGAAATCACTACAGTGAGATGCCACTGCAATGCGTTCATGTTTTACAGGATGTGATGTCACTGCAATGCGTTCATGTTTTACAGGATGTGATGTCATTGAAGTGCAGTCATGTTTTACAGGATGTGGTGTCATTGAAGTGCAGTCATGTTTTACAGGATGTGATGTCACTGCAACGCGTTCATGTTTTACAGGATGTGATGTCACTGCAAGGCGTTCATGTTTTACAGGATGTGATGTCATTGAAGGGCATTCATGTTTTACAGGATGTGATGTCATTGAAGTGCGTTCATGTTTTACAGGATGTGATGTTATTGAAGTGCATTCATGTTTTACAGGATGTGATGTCACTGCAACGCGTTCATGTTTTACAGGATGTGATGTCACTGCAACGCGTTCATGTTTTACAGGATGTGATGTCATTGAAGTGCATTCATGTTTTACAGGATGTGATGTCACTGCAATGCGTTCATGTTTTTCAGGATGTGATGTCACTGCAACGCGTTCATGTTTTACAGGATGTGATGTCACTGCAATGCGTTCATGTTTTACAGGATGTGATGTCACTGCAATGCGTTCATGTTTTACAGGATGTGATGTCATTGAAGTGCATTCATGTTTTACAGGATGTGATGTCATTGAAGTGCGTTCATGTTTTACAGGATATGATGTCATTGAAGTGCATCATGTTTTACAGGATATGATGTCACTGCAACGCGTTCATGTTTTACAGGATGTGATGTCACTGCAATGCGTTCATGTTTTACAGGATGTGATGTCATTGAAGTGCAGTCATGTTTTACAGGATGTGGTGTCATTGAAGTGCAGTCATGTTTTACAGGATGTGATGTCACTGCAACGCGTTCATGTTTTACAGGATGTGATGTCACTGCAAGGCGTTCATGTTTTACAGGATGTGATGTCATTGAAGGGCATTCATGTTTTACAGGATGTGATGTCATTGAAGTGCGTTCATGTTTTACAGGATGTGATGTTATTGAAGTGCATTCATGTTTTACAGGATGTGATGTCACTGCAACGCGTTCATGTTTTACAGGATGTGATGTCACTGCAACGCGTTCATGTTTTACAGGATGTGATGTCATTGAAGTGCATTCATGTTTTACAGGATGTGATGTCACTGCAATGCGTTCATGTTTTTCAGGATGTGATGTCACTGCAACGCGTTCATGTTTTACAGGATGTGATGTCACTGCAATGCGTTCATGTTTTACAGGATGTGATGTCACTGCAATGCGTTCATGTTTTACAGGATGTGATGTCATTGAAGTGCATTCATGTTTTACAGGATGTGATGTCATTGAAGTGCGTTCATGTTTTACAGGATATGATGTCATTGAAGTGCGTTCATGTTTTACAGGATATGATGTCACTGCAACGCGTTCATGATTTACAGGATGTGATGTCATTGAAGTGCATTCATGTTTTACAGGATGTGATGTCATTGAAGTGCGTTCATGTTTTACAGGATGTGATGTAATTGCCTGCACACAATTGTATAGAAGGTAGCTAAGGGGACTTCAAAGTAAAAAGGAGAGTTCAGGATTCTATTTGGGCCCCTAGTTAAACCTCTGGCTGCTCCATTAAGGGTTATATTTAGGTTGTATTCACTAAACCGTGAATGGTAGAGAAATATTGGCCAGAGTAAAACTGGAAAAGTTCTTCTGTTTCTGCTTTAAATATGTGATTCGTTCGCCGATTCTCCTGAGCATCTGGCTTAGTGAACCCTCTAGGGTTAGTTACTAAAGAGTGAATTCAAAACGTGGGCTGAGATCAATCAATTGGAAATAGAGTTGAATTGGAGCGCCAGGGGTAAGCAACAATCGGCACTCCAAATGTTGTGAACTACAACTCCCATAACCCGGGCTAGATTAATTTGATATAATTTTTGCAGTTTTGTTTCTGGCTGTCCACCGTTCTCAGTTTAGTTAAAATCCGTATGTGAGAAGAATCGATAATGTCTCTTTAAGGGCTGTGTGAGCGTAGGTGTAGGTACATGAGTGATACAGACAAGGTGTGTTGTGGTAGAGAGACTGCTGCTGTGTGTTAGCACTAGTCAGTGTCATGTATTCATGTGATATCCTTGTCTGCTATTAGGTTACTGAGATTAACAAGCAATGTAACGTACAAACGTTTCATATCTCCCAGCACAGGGGCAGCCGGCGTGGTACCTGTCGAATGACAGCGTGGAGACATTCCCATTATAACGAGTCTCTGGGACTCCTCTCTCTGACATCCCCAAATCACATGGTGACACGCTCACTGCTGGAAGCTCGAATCAAAGCAAAACTCGGCGCTGTCTGCTAGAGACAGGCCAGCGATCACTGTGCGCTGGCCCTGTGCTGGGAAAAGCTTATTCCAGCCTCGGAAAACACATCAGATCCATTTAAATAAGAGGGATAACGATCTTTCCAGAAAAGCGTAGGTGTCTGTCTGGTAGAAAGAACCGATAGGTTAGGAGGGAGACAGAGACAGGGGGTAGTGGTGGGGTGTTTGTGTCGTAGGTGGGGAAAAATTTGGAATTAAAGGGAGGGAAGGGAATGTGCCGGAATAGAGATTGAGAATTAGTCTGAAGGACATTGAATTATTTTATCATGCCAGGACATCATGTTCCGCACTGCCCAACGCCCGCTCATTGATGCCAGCTTCTTAAATCTCAATGCCAGAGCAAGAAACCAGCTGTTGTTAACAGTTTTGAGCGCCAGGTAACTTTATTCAGTTATGGTAAAACAAAACCGTAAAATATGCATGATGCTGGCCAGGAACGGACTGACTGCTGCCCTTCAAAATGTATTTTTTGAACAGGAGAAATGGGTGCTATTCTCGTGTGCCAATCCGCTGATGAGATGCTAATAATTCCTTTTTCCCCTGCGAGAGTCTGGTCTATTCCTTCCAATCTCTGTACACGCAGTGTGGCGGAACCAACCTCGCCATGAAGCACTGGAGAAGCCTGGTTGCTTGCCTGCTCCCTCTGGACTATGGTCCCATGTTAAACGCTGTTCTTTTCCCCTACAGAAAGACTTGTTCGTGCCTTTCTGCCTGGGCCTACCAAACCAACGCACGAATGGGGGGACCACCTGGGCAATGAGTGTGCCAGTGATTTACCTCCCAGAAGCTGCGCTTAACCGCAGCTTAATCGGTGAACGCTGGGTGGCCGCTGTTCGTATAACCGAACACGTGACAGCGGCCATCTTAAACTCCCGAATGGCGAGCGGTGTTCAGCTCCAGAACTGTGGAACTCAAAATGGACATTTAAACTCACGAACACCTCTGAGCCGCCGACCTCCCTTCTCCTGCAATTCATACGGACGCCGTCCGTTCGGTACTTTCCCTATGTGAGCAGTGTTACCCCAGATAGCTATGCCATGGAACCCATTCATGTAACGAAAGACTATGTGAAAGACTTTGGCTCCATGGCGATTGAACTACAAATATGTGATCTGAGCGCCATTCGGTAATAATGTGTTTTATGTAATATTTGCAACATTGTGTAATTTTATGTATTTTCGCTAACATGTGGCTAATGAAGTTTTGCCTCTGTCCTTGGAGATAATTGGATTACTTCCCAATTATCTCCAGGATAGAGAGGAGGGATTGTGATGTAATTGTGGGAGTGTTTAAAGGTGTATGTCTGTAATTGGTTAAAGGAACACTATAGTCACCTAAATTACTTTAGCTAAATAAAGCAGTTTTAGTGTATAGATCATTCCCCTGCAATTTCACTGCTCAATTCACTGTCATTTAGGAGTTAAATCACTTTGTTTCTGTTTATTCAGCCCTAGCCACACCTCCCCTGGCTATGATTGACAGAGCCTGCATGAAAAAAAAAACTGGTTTCACTTTCAAACAGATGTAATTTACCTTAAATAATTGTATCTCAATCTCTAAATTGAACTTTAATCACATACAGGAGGCTCTTGCAGGGTCTAGCAAGCTATTAACATAGCAGGGGATAAGAAAATCTTAATTAAACAGAACTTGCAATAAAGAAAGCCTAAATAGGGCTCTCTTTACAGGAAGTGTTTATGGAAGGCTGTGCAAGTCACATGCAGGGAGGTGTGACTAGGGTTCATAAACAAAGGGATTTAACTCCTAAATGGCAGAGGATTGAACTGCTTCATTAAGCTAAAGTTGTTCAGGTGACTATAGTGTCCCTTTAATGTCCAGTATGTATCCCAGTCTTCCACCTGGTCCCCTACGGGAGTGTCCACCTGGTGGAAGACCTGCATACAAGCCGGGCAGGTAGCCCCAGTAAATCAGTTCTGCTTGACCCTCAGAACGAAGTGTCGTCTCGTTCTTTGTGTGGATTTGATTGTATGCTGTTACAGTTCAACTGCCAGGAGTGTAAACTGTTCGTATGGTTTTTGCTGTTCGGCTGTTTACAGCATTTGTATGGTTCCGGTTCGGGAGTTGGAGAATTTGTGTGTTTCCTGTTCGGGAGATTGTTGCTTGCAGTAGCTGCCTGTGTATCTGGAAGGGGAATATCGCCTAAACGGTTTTTAACCCCTTGTGTGCTTAACGGTCCGTTACACGCAGTAATGGCCAGAATATGTTACGGATGTCACAGCTAGTATCACCGCACAGAGAAACAAAGCCACTGGACATTAAAAGGAACCCCTCACCCACAAAAACGTTACATGGGGCTCAGAAAACGTCTGAGGAAATCAATCGGTTTTACCAGATTTCTGCACTATAGGCGACGTGTGTAAAATAACTCTCTGCCGCTAGAATGTGGAATTCAGTAAACCTAATTATTCGCCACAGGTGTGATCTCCATGGGGATGCTGTGGTTTTATGTTTGCTGATCTTCCTAGGGTTAAATTAAAGGGAAACTCTCTTTTTAGAAATACATACATTAAACTAATCATTGCAAAGAGAAAAAAACGTGCATTAGAAAATGGAAAAATGTGCAAGATATTTACTAAAGCTAAACCTCGCCTTTCTCCACCTGCGGAACAGGCCTCTGCAGCTCATGAAGGTTCACTCCCTTTTTACCAGAATTTTTTTATTACGATGGCCACCGTCCAATCAAATGAGGTATTGAAGACACACCTCCATTCCAAAGCTTCTAATATAGATCGGTCAAATCAGTGAGATTTAGGTAAAGTCCTACTTTAGGGCTGTATTAGTTAACATGTTGTCTTTACCTGTTTGTATGTGTTCATGCCACGTCCATGTCTGGGGTTAGCGTGCTGTGTCTGGAGTTAGACTGCCACATCCGTATCTGGGCATAGCTTGCCGTGTCTGTGTCTGGGGTAAACATTTTGTGTGCACTGACACCAGACACAAAACTTGCACATACCTGATGACGTGAGTATTAAAGGTGGGTGATTGACAGCCCAGGGAGGTGGCCCTACACACAGACAAAAATTATATCACTTTTATAACTTTCTTAAATATTGTCAAAATAATTATGGGATTTAAATGTAATTTTTCAGAACACTTTGATAAATATCTGCCATTGTCTCTATTTCTCCTCCACTCCGTATACTCTCTCTATGCTGACTGCCAGTACAAAGCTTATGACTGGAGGTTAGAGGTAGGTACAGAGCTGGGGATTTCTACTGTTTGAATAGCCTTTTCAGATATATTTTAAATATAGGAGATAAGTCCAAAACGTCTGGGAAAGTGGGCTCATTGTCAGGATATGGTATGAATAACCCCAGATAATATAATTTGAGGAGCACTAATCACTGATCTCTCATACTATCACACAATTAGATGCTCATTTCATATCCCCACTTTACGAATTACCGGTATTCTGTTTTATTAGGCTGTGCACACGTTTATTTGTCCCAAGCCATCTTGACTTTTTAAACTTAATTTCTCTAAACCACCTCTCCGATGGATGGTCCGTGCGTCTACAACTCATTAGCTGTCTTGGAACTTTTTGATACCTGTAAAGATAAGTTTGCTTCTGTCTTCTCTCGACCCTGTGTTCAATGCAGATTCATCCCGAAGGCGATTTCTGGCTCCTGAGATTTGGGATTTGGCAAACTACTCCTGTAGTCAGGGTTCGCTGTGTAATATCCCGGATAGACAGCAGAGGGAGCCAGAGCTCTGCATGTACGTCACCTCATTAATCTATGCTGTGTATCAAGGGCAGTGTGTGAGCTGGGAGTTTTACCCCAAACCTTGGAGAATATTTGGCTTGTGGTATTTTTGCTCCGGCCTCTGAAGTGGAAGGCTTGTAAGCACTTCATGGAGGCACGATGCAATGATCAGTCTAATGTTTAGGCAAGGTATTTTCATTTGGTACATGGGGGGATATCTTGTGGTTAATATGAATGTAAAATTAGACTATATATCATATGTATATATATTACACCATAAAGTGTATGGACTCCTGGCCATCACACCAATATGAGTTTGTTGGACATCCTATTCCAAACCACGAGTATTAATCAAATCACGACCAATTAATTGGTCTTGATAAAAGTTCATT